TTTGGAATGGCGGATAACAAGATGGTCGTTATACCAATTTTCAATAACTACGCATTTTGAAAAGAATTTTCATCGTGGATAATAAAATTATCGTGAAAACATTTAAGAAGAGACGCTTTCACTTATACGCTCCAACAAGAAAATGAACTTTGAATTGAATAAAACTCATCAATTCATCAAACTACATAGATTATACAATTCTAATAATATAAAAGCTTATTGCGGAATTTACCTGAGTAGAAGCAAGAATACCATATGTAATTTGATTTTGATATGATCTCAGAAAAACATCTCATCTTTGTCATGAAATAGGTCATTTCGAAATAATTTTTTTCAGAGCATTCGAATAAAAGCTTGCTCTCCGAAATGCTTTCTGTTGAGAATTCATTTTTTAGTTCATGGAAGCCTAAAAGTCTACACAATATCGTGTAATGCTTTTTTCTTTATATTCAATGATATTTCCAGTAAAATTTCAAATAGAATCACTTTTCCTACCTTTCTGTGGAATTCTGACAAAAAATACAATCACAATCTGAACTTCGAATATGAACCCTAATATGAAGTTGAAAGTGATTGTAGCGAAAATCTGTCGACCCATTCAATTTTCTCCACTTCCCTATATCAGTAAAAATTCCAGCCCGTCAATTCCATCAGTTTCCTCGGTTTCATATGAGCGGCAACTGCCGTCCCTCCGATTCTCATTTAATCATCATCTCGATCTCTTTCAGTATCACGGTTTCAGAGGCAATACGATTGAAATATATTGGGTGGATTGGAAATGGTGATTGATCGACTTTTCAATCGCCACATCAATATGAAATTGATCACACGGATCAAAAATTATGGAGGAATGAAAGTTCCATTAAACTGAATTAAATTCAATCTAACATATTTATGCAATTTCTCAAAAACATTTTTTGTTAGGTGATCACATAAGCAAACTGTTAAAAAAAAATTGTTTGAAAAACTAAAAAATACGCTTTTAAAGAACATCGAACTAAAAAGTTGGAAAAAAGCGACGGGCGCTTGATATTCAAAAAATATGACACAAAGCGTGTTTTTTAGTTTTTCAAACTACATTTATTTTATTCAAACTTTGGGATCAATCAGCCGTATATTGTTTCGGAAAATGAAAATAGATATTTTTCCTTTCCGGATAGGGAGCCTGAAAATCAGTAACCAAGTCCAAGGCAGCAGGTGCGCGAAGGATGGTTACAAATAAGGCAGTCAGCGCGCGTGTTGATAAAAAAATATTTTTTTCAAATGAAGAAATACATGTAAAGTGAGTCCGAATTATATCAAGGAGGTAACGTGCAGCGCCATTTGCCGGCGAATAGTTCAAGCAATAATTTCCATATATCAAGGAGGTTACTTACAGCGTCATCTGCCCAAGAATAGATCAAGCAATGAGGTCGATAATTCTGTCAAATACAGATCCCGATATGAAATGACCAGGCAGAGGCGACCTTAGGGGGTGGCGAACGGAGCAATCGCCCGGGGCCCCGCTCTTTGAGGGGCCTCGAGCAGCAACCCAAGTGAATTTAAAAAAATACAGATTAAAATAAAAGTTTACCTGAAACAGTTTGGTAGGAAACAAAATTAGTTGTTATGAAATCATCCTGTTAGTTTAAGTAATCAAGTTCCTCAGATAATATATTTTGTTACAACTTGTTAATTATTCAAAAATACATTTATAGTTGGAAACAAGTGTTTTACGAAATGAGTTCGCGTGATCGTGATGCCGATAGAAAATTCGAGTCAGATAGTTCATAAAGGAAACGAGCTATGAAAAGAAAGCAGGTACAAGAAAATCTACGTGGATCTTTATATAAATATATAAAAAGTGATGATCAAGAAACAGAAAACTCTACAAAACATTTATTAACTGAAATTGACTCTGACTCTAATCCTCATCCAGCTGAAAGTATTTCTTCCACATCATCATGGGTGCCGCCGCCGTCATGATGATGAATTAACTACATCATTGTCTCTTAGGTCAGCGGTGCCGCCGTCAACGCTATCCAGTCAAGAACCCGAATCTGAGCCCGAGTCTATGTCTACAGTCATGACTGCTGGACTGAAAGATCTGAATCATTAAAATGACCCCGGTTTGTGGCCCATAACAATTACTGATGTAGACCGAACTGAGATTATATTAAAAGGTCCAATCCGGTGTAACGGTGTAAAGCTTGATAGGCGCTGGATGCCGTTTACTGCTTTCCGTGTAGAATATTCGAGATAGAAAATACAAAGATTGGATCAAGTGAAGGAGTATGTGATTGGAAACACTTGGGTGATTACCTAAATTCTCACGAATCTACTCGACAGCACAAGGATTGTATGTTGGAATGGATTAATTTGGAGAATGGTTTGAAAAGCTGTTCCTCTATTGACTCCTTGCATCAGTCAAAAATTGAACAAAAAAGGCAACGTTCGAGAGATATTTTAGAACGATTAATCGCAATCTTAAATTTTTTAGCATCTCACAATTTGGCCTTCAGGGGTCGTAGAGATAAGTTAACATCTGACTCAGATTCGAGTGAGACAAGCGGCAACTTTAGAGATTTAGTAATGTTAATATCACGATTTGATCCAGTGCTGAGACTTTACCTGAATCAAATACAGGATGAGACGATTCATGATCACTATCTTGGGAAAAATATTCAAAATGAGCTCATACAATTAATGGCAAGTCACGTGAAGACTCAAATTGTTAAAAAAAATAATAAATGATAAATATTATTCTATTATTCTTGATTGTACTCGTGACTTTTCTCGTGTTGAGCAATTTTCAATCATTATGAGACTTTTTAATACAAATACAGCTGAAATTGAAGAACATTTTATGGGTTTCTTAGCCGTCGAAAAAACTACAGCTGAGAGTTTGACTAACTATATAATCACAGAATCAGAACAGTTAGGTATATCATTGAAAAACTGCAGAGGCCAAGGATATGATAATGGTGCCAATATGCGTGGTGAGAAAAGTGGGGTCCAAAAACGTATTCTTGAAACTAACCCACTTGCTTATTTTTCACCTTGTGGGAGTCATAGCTGGAATCTCATCCTAGGAGATGCAGCATCGTCTTGTGTCCAAGCAAAATCTTTTTTTGGTTTGCTACAAAGGTTGTACACTTTGTTTGCCAGCTCAAGTCAGACTAGATGGGAGTGCAGGGTAGCATCGGTGAAGGCCGTTAAATACTAACTAAGTGATATATGTGATGCTTTGAAGGAATTATCAGAAAATACAACAGATTGTCAGTTGGTCAGTGAATGCCATTCTATAGAAAAGGAAATAACTACCTACGAATTTGTAGTTTCACTTGTCATATGGTATGACATTCTCACAAAGATAAATGTTATAAGTAAAATGTGGCAAAGTGAAAACATGCACTTATATGTGACTAGAGCAACACCTAGACGCATTCACAAATTGGCTCGATAATTATCGAAAAAATGGTTTTCAGTCATCCCTTGTATCAGCGAGAGAAATAGCCGAAAAAAATTATATTGACAGACAGTTCAAAGAAGTTAGAAGACGACGTAAAAAAAGCATTTTGATTATGAAGGAGAAGATGAAGCTCAAGAATTGAAAGCGGAAGAGAATTTCAAAATAAACTATTTTTATGTAATTGTCGACAATGTGCGCGCAAGCTGTCATCCTAGGTTTGAGGCACTCAAATATCATGAGAGTATATTTGGTTTCATGTATAATGTACAAAGATTAAAGGAAATTAGTGATAGTGGACTTTCGAAGAAATGCAGTGACTTGTAAATATCTATGACAGTAGGGGAATCATGTGATGTTGATGGACATGAATTGTACGAAGAACTAAGTATGTTTATTTACGTATATGGAGAAAACGACGACATTATCTCGGTGCTGAGATACATAATAGAAAAAAAATTAACCGAAGTTCACCCGACTATCGAAATAGTCCTGAGAATTATTGCCACCACACCTGTAATAGTTGCGTCTGCTGAAAGGAGTTTTTCGAGGCTTGAAAGTGTCAAAACATATTTGAGAAATTCGATGACACAAGAATGGCTTCCAGCCCTTGCTATTCTTTCAATCGAAAATGAAGATTTCAGTCTTAGGAAAAGCCGCAAACATCAATTTTGATTTCTGTATTTATTAACTTGGAAATCTTACAAAATAAAATATTTTAAAACTCAAATTTTATTTATTTGTATATCTATAGCATTTCTCGTCATTTCGTTAGACGTGACAAATAGGTACCTAAACCAAACAACCAGACGGTCTGGTTCAAATCTATTTTCGCATCACATACTTTTCACGAGAGGCAAAGGGCCTCACAAAGACCTGCCGCCCGCAGCCTCGCAATGGGTAAGGACGCCGCTGCAGGAGAGTAACAAACAAACACACATACAGGTGAAACTAATATAAAGCATGTGAAAATTAAGGCTATAATTAAAATTTTGCGAACTACATACATTCGATTGGTGATTAAAAAAATATATTGATATACTTGTTTCGAACTTGTTTCGAGTGTTCGGCGATTTTGTGCTATCGAAGAAAATGAATCAAAACTTTAAATGAAATTTTTCATAAAAAATGGAATGGAACACTTTAAATGTAGAACGGTGAACGGTGATTTGTACTCAGTGTCTGAAAAATATTTACAAGTGTAACAAGCTTCCCAAGGAGAGTCGAGAAGGTGGTGAATGACGTATGCCCCTCAACAATCGATGAAAATGTTGAAAAAGTGGAGAAAATTTTAGGTAGAATTGTTGACTCACTTTTGAGAAATAACGGATATCGGCATATTGGCTGGCTCATAACACGCCCTTTTTTCGAAAATTTTAGACATGAAGCATTTGTCAGCGAAGTTCATTCCAATATTGCTGAATTTCAACCAAAAAAAAATCGCATGAGCATCACTAAGGAATTGTTGTCAACGATCATCCAGATTTGCTTGAAAGGGCAATACGAAGAAAACGAATTGTGGAAGATCATTCATGTCTTTTGCATCACGATCATGCACCTGCTCACTGCTCATTGCTACAGCGACCTCATTCACAAGATCGAAGAAACCCATGAAAGTATGGCAGTTTGCAACGCTTGAGGAGATAAAAAAATCAATTCGCTGAGAGAGCTCAAGAACATACCAAAAGTGCATATCAGAACTGTATCGAGAGTTCATGAATAAATGAATATTATTTGAGAAAACTGAAAATTCTTGTAATTTTTTGAACATACAGCGTATATATCTTCTGAAAGTGAACAGATATGATGTAAAAATAAAACTGTATTCCAGGATCACTTTTAGTAGCGTGCATCATTCCTTTTAGTATTATCTGTAATCACGATAGCTCTCTTGTTGATGAACAAAGTCGTTATTGCCTCATTCGCGTTACTGTCGCTTTTTCATATCACTTTGACCTATATAAATCATCATTCTGTCCTTGATAAATTAGGAAACCTATTATCCTTCCATGGGACCACTACACGTGAAACCATGATGGAATGATATTTAAAATTATACAGTGCATTCCATTTAAAACGGGCCACCCTAAATAACTTTTCGTGCAATGATTTTCAGAAAAAAAAAAACTCAACAATAGTATACAGGGGGACACATTTTGACATATTTCTAATCTTCAAAATAGATGGTACATATCCTGAAAGGGGAACAAACAATGAGGAATTATGCATGAGGGTCAATATTGACAGCTTAGAGTTCAGAATGAATCGTGCATTTGTTATATTTTTATATAAATCTTGAATGGCCTTATTGACTCTCCCAGTCTGCTCAGCCTGATTAATATCAATGTTCCTTCATATTTTTCTCGAAATCATGCAACTTTCAAACTTCCATGCATAAGAACAAATATGCAATTGAAATCTCCACTTTATAAAATGTGTAGTGAATTCAATAAAATTGGCAATTGAATTGACATTCATTCGTGTTCCATCAAGGAACTCATCTCGGTGATGAAAAATCAAACAGCATTGTTATATCGATATTTCGTTAATTTTTGATATTATTTTAATTATTTTTTAATCTACTAGATATTATTATTAATTTACTCATAAACACCATTTTATGTTTTGTTATTCTTTAATATTGTCCTGTAAATGGGAAACTGTGGACAATAAAGGCTATTATTATCTGATGTTACTTCTCCTATCGCACCTCCAGAGCATGTCACCATTTTTTCAATTGAATCACCCTATATTGTTTTGCATTATCATATGCTCCATGATGAGCAGATTTCAACAAAGTATAAAACATATGGTCTGAAGCTTATGGTCCGGGAGCTATAAATTATTTGAGTTGAAAACGAGCTACCCTGAATAACTTTTGGAACAATGATTATCAGGAAAAATGAAAAAACACCTCAACAATAGTATACAAGGGGACACATTTTGACATATTCAATCTACAGACAAATATGTAAGCAATAAATCAGAAAAAGAGAGTTTGCATTGATTCTTGAATCAAAATTTGATGACTGGACAGTAACAAGAAAAAAAAATTGTATAGTAAATGTTTAAAAACATCTTCACCAACTTCCATACAATGGTACAAACAAGCTTTCCTTGCCGCCCTCACACGGTTGAGAATCTCGGGAGTTATTTCTTTGCAATGCCTCACGATATTCTCTTTTATATCTCCTAATGTTGTTGATTCTATCTGATACACTTTAGACTTCAAATGACGCCATAGAAAGAAATCTACAGGAGTGAGATTCGGAGACGTTGGTGGCCATTCTGTAGGAGCTCTTTTGCCAATCCAGCGACCAGAAAAATGATAATCCAAAAATTGTCGTACTAGAGCTGCATAATGAGGAGGTGCACCATCCTGCTGGAAAACTATTTCGTTTTCGAATAAATTTATATCCTCCTCAATCGTCCTATTGATGCACGGTATTATTCGATTTTCCAACATATCCAAATATTTATCACTAGTCAAATGATCATCGATAAAAAAAGGTGCTATGATGTGATCACCTAAAATTCCTGCCCAAACATTCAGTTTTTGCGGTCGTTTGGTATAAATGAGGGTTCGTATCACTTCAATTTAGACAATTTTGCCGATTCATGTCTTCATTGAAAGTAAACGTATATTCATCTGAAAAACTGATTCCATACAAGAAATTCTGATGCTAGTTGATCCGTTCAGTGAGACTTTCACCAAACTCGATACGTCAATCGAAATTATCTTCGTTCATTTCATGAACTAGTCTAATCTTAATGTATGAAATTTGTACCTATGAAGGATCCTGAAACATTTGTACGACTGGTTCCTGATTCTCGAAATAACTTAGTGAAAGAAAACAGCAGTACAAATAGCTTCATCGTTGACGACTCCTGAACGGTTATGCTTTTTATTCTTAAAATACAAATTTTATTCTTAATTCTATAAATTTGTTTAATAATTCCAAAACGTATTTTTGTCGTACAGAAACACCAATTGAAATTTCACTTGGTAGAAATTTCACTTGGTAGGTAATTGTTATTGTCGAATGAGACAAATACAAAATGAAGAGAAAATCCCATTTCACTAAGATAACGCACCGTTTCACCCCTCAGCGGTTGCCATGGCAAAAATTCACGATTTACGATTTGAACTTCTTGATCATCCACCTTTCTCACCAGATCTAACCCTTTGCGATTTATTTTCGTTCCTTCATCTAAAAATTGTTCTAGAAAGACCTAGACTTTCGTCAAATGAAGATGCAATCACTTTCATGAACATATATTTTGCACAGAAAAATGCCAAGTACTATTTGGTCGGGTTACAGAGAAGAAAGCATCGCTGGGAGGAATAAAAAAAAAGTTGAAAAAATGTCTTGTATCTTTGTTAAGTCAGAAACTTCTCAGACCATTTTTGTATTTGGGACAGATATTCCTCTTGGTGGAATCAAACTGGCTCGGTCAGTTGAACAGAAATAAGCCCACATCCTTCTTTCGATGTCTCGGCAATAAATGTTGCTTGTGATGTTTGAGTCACCAATGAGGCGGATATCATTTTTCTCAATAGAACCTAGCAACCTCAGAGCACGATTACTTTATGTTCAGAACGGCACGATAGAACAAAGTTTCATCGACTGTTACTACTTTCACGGACATTTCTCATTCACAATTTTGTATTTTTTCAACTACGATATTCAATTGAATTTATAATGATCTCAGTAAAAAATTATCGTATGGATAATACATCATCTCCTGATCAACTTTACTTTTTTTTTTTCAGTGCCACTGGTTTGAGAGCCACCCGATCGATTGGATTTACCAGACTCCAACGGTAATAGTTCTTCTCCTGAACCTGATATTTCTTGTCTGCATTATGTGGGTCCTTATCACGAAGCTCCGTTCGGCAAATACTCTGGAAACTCAACAATACCACAAAGCCGCCAAGGCCCTTCTTGTACTTATGCCTCTTCTGGGGATCACGTACGTCATCACTATTTACGCTCCGACTCCGGATAGGGCTTCTATCAATGTTTTCGAGTGTACGAGAGCCGTGCTACTGTCGACACAGGTTAGTATAGGAAATTGTTACCCCGAAGAATCAAGATAACTTCGTTGCATGTTCAAACTCGATGCAATAACGTTAGTGCTGAACAAGAACGAGGGACAATCGAGTTACTCAATAATATTATCAAAAATTATTATGAAATCAATTCTATACAACCATTTATACATTTTTCATACTTCATCTGAGACAAATGAAATACTATTCCATCCGTTTGAATTCTATTTCAAATACAGATGTATATTTTGAGTGGAGCTGTTAACAAATACCATCAGCCCAGTTTGTTCTTAATGAAAGTTCAAGATTCTCCTTCAACATTTATGGAGCCTGAATGTGAAGAAGATACAGCAGAATCAAAAGATAGCCCAGATAACGAAAATGCTCTTGAATTTGGAGAAATTGATATCAGAATTGTGAAAACTATAAACTCGCAGATAATGTTATCATCAGCCAAATAAACCAACCTATCATTCCAAACAGACATTATTCCAGAAGTTTTTGTATTTTTTCTCCGAGTTCTTTTATGTTGTAATTGCAGATTTTTATTACTTTGAGAACTCAACCAAGATACCATCTTCGACAATATGATTTGCGATTGTTTCATTTTTGTACAAATTTGAACTAACGAAGGTCGTGGAATTGTCACTTTTCTTTTGGTACTATAAAATACTGGACATCCGAATTCAACCAAGAAAATATTTGTTTCGGCAAGGACTTTATTTATACTGCGAACATTTATATGGTCAATAATAAGCTATTCTCTATTAGAAAATTCTGCTTTCACAGACTTGTCTGATTTTCAAAATCATTGAATATTCAACGGTTTCATTCAGCTTGCCCTGTTTGTTTGTTTTGGTCAAATTCAGTAATTGAAGTTTGACTCCCTTACTGTTGACAGACTGATCTGATATTTGGTACACACATTTAGTTTTGATGACAATACAATACAATAATCTCTGTATCATTATAAATCCAAGATAACCGCAGCTACTGAATGGCGGATTGAATATTGTTTCACAACTAGCCCCCTGTAAAAATCAAATGACAAGGTTTGACTAGTAGAATAGTACTACACTTTGGAAAAGATGCAAACTCAAGGAGGCCGCAGCTACAAGATGGCGGATTACATATTTTTTCATAACTTTTTCAATATGGGTATCAAATAACAGGGATTGACTTATAGTATAGTAATACACTTTTAAAAAAAAGCAAATTCAAATTGGCCGCAGCTTCAAACTGGCGAATAACATATTTTTTCACAACTACCCCAGTGTGGGTGACAAGTGATAGGGCTTGACTAGTAGAATGGATATTGTATTCCAACAAGATGGAGCACCACCACATCACTACAGACAAGTACGAAACTATTTGGATATTACTTTTCCCGGTCGTTGGATTGGCCGTCGAGGTCCTACAGAATGGTCAGCCCACTTGCCAGATTTGACACCTTTGGACTTTTTCTTATGTGGCTATCTGAAGCAAAAGGTGAACGAAACTGGACCTGCTTCAATATTGGATATACGGCCGTTACTGTGTTCGAAAATGTTCGGAGTGAAATATCGGAAAGAAGAAAAGTATCTTCTGAATAATTCAGTATTCATATAGAAGTATTTGTTTCGAAAGAATTTTTTTCTTGAAATTCAATGTTTATATGAAAGTAGCTGTTTCAGGAGGACTTTCTTTCAGTTTGCGTCTGAAAGTTACTTCTTTGCATGATCTACACATCCATGTATAGAGTTACTTATTTTCAAATTGATTACTTCCTTCCTTTCTTTGAGAGATTCTCTCATCCCTTTTTTTGTATCAGATGGAGTAGTAGAAAGCCAAAAACTTTCTTTCCCAAAAGTTAATCGGATAGGCTGTTCATATATCAAGAAATTCAAGGCAACCATTTTGAGCATCTCTTGAACTGACCTCAAACTTATTACCTCATATTATGTAGTTAAATGTCAATGTATTCAGGCAATTATTAAAATTCGCTATTTTGTAGTAGTTGAAGATATTGATATTATATTCTAGGGTTATGAAGCATTCGTCAGGAGCTTCGAAAGAATGTATCACAAAACCCCCCTTTTCATTTAATTTTTTTCTAGATAGCGCCCAGTCGCCATTTTGAAAGTTTCATCTGTCAGTTTCACTTCAAAATGATGTATTCATGCAATAATTCCACTGTCTCTAATTTCAATTTTTTGAGTTGACCCGTTCAAAAAATGAAAGGGGGGACATTAAAGAAATGCACTGTGTGATCAATATCGTAGACTACTAAGGAGAGTGGTGTGATGACTACTACCTAGGAACTTCCGAATTATTTTTTAGTTTTTAGTACCTACATTATCTACATCATATTATCAATAAAACCGCATTTTTTTAACTTATTTTTTTGTAGGTATCAGATTTTTCAACTTCAAAATCTCTAGTGTACTTGTTGATCCGAATCCTTAATTTTTCTTTCCGAAATTTTGTAAGTTGAATCAAGTTCTTTGGGTTCAAAATTTTCAGTTATATCAAATCGGTATTGAATATTACGGGAGTTTTATCCCAACACCAAATCGTTATTTTAAACACTTCGTCATGTGTTTCGATCACCAAGTGATCATCTTCAAGAGAAAGATTCAATATTCCTCTTGAAGATTATCATTTGGTGATTGAAACACGTGTCGAGGTGTTGAACATAATGGTTTAGTGTAGGGATAAAACTCCAGTACCTAATATTCCTTATTACACCAAAGGTTCCAAACAGTGTATCACAAATATCGAATCAGATTCAATGAAACTTTGAATTGTATGAGGTGAGTACATATATTGAAATGAACATGAAAATCGAATACTCAAATTGTAGTTCAGTATTAGTTAATTGTTTGTTTACAAAATCCGCTCGATGTGATTTTATTTTTCCTAGCTGCTTTTAAAAATAATAATTTCTCACCTTCACTTGTTCAATTTTGTATCTATTCAATTTTATCTGTCAGATTCTTTCTCGAATATTTTTTTTTTCAATACCCGACACTCACATTCTGATCCAGAATGAATTTTTTTTATTGTGTATTTTTATTGCATTTCAACCCACATCGGCTTCTATATTTCAACCAGCTCGTCTATCGTACTAAAATGTGTACTTTATTTGTATTTTATATTTAGGGTTGTTGTTTAAAATGTAGGCGAATTGAACTTTCAATTGTGATATTCAATAATACAATTACTTCATATGAGATTTAAATGCACTATTGGTTGATTTATTAATCCGTATAGCAGATATCAATAACCTAATTATTTTCCATGAGTTTCCGACAACATCAAGTATATTGCACCAGAGAGTGTAACTTAATGATGCCACAATAGTATCCTTCATATTCACGTTCATATACATAGAGTTCAACCAAATTATAAATTTTGAAACACGAGAATAAAGATTATAGTTGTGAGATTCGCTTCTAGAAAGGAGATATAGATATCTATTTATGGAAACCAAACGCATTGGAAACTATAATTCAGCAAATATGTATTTTTGGTTGCATTTTACATTTGTGACTACTTGGTTGAAGAACTGACCAATAAGAACTTCAGGGAGGCTACAATCCAAGAAATGACCACAGAGTAGTTGGATTTTTCTATTTCTTGTCCGAAAGTTTCATTGATTATTATACTTTGTACTCATAGAAAAACTGGAAATTGATTGTAATACAGCTGAATTTGAATGAAATATCCACAACATATACCTGCTAACAGGAATAAATTGGTTTTATGAAATTTGCGACCCCCGAGTTTTCGATCTATGAAAACCGTCAGTCAGTGTCACTATTTTTTGGGTTTGAGGTCGTCGATTTTTGAAATTTCTTCCTGATGTTTGGATAATTTCTTCAGAGGTTTATACACCATTAATTTATATTAAATGACTCAGTCATCGAAGTGACACTGGAAACCTAGGCCAAGAAAGGCTTAACCATTTTGAGTTTCGCCGGATATCATTCAATACTTGTTAAAATATCAGCTGAAGACGAATTTTTTCTGCCAGGAATCTGTGTACGAATGTTGAAAGTGGTGAATGTTTTAAATTTCAATTTGAAATATTTATTTCCTCAGAAAATCGTGATGAGGTACCAATTATGAGTTGAAGACTAGTTTATTCCGGAAATTTTTATATGTTCACCTCAAAAAAATTAGAATTGCAATTTGTTCGATTGATGACCTATTTCTTTTGTAGAAATTCATATTGAATATAGAATTAAGAGAATAACTTTCATCTAATTTTTAAGTTAATTATTTGTTACGACCAGTTCCAGTTCATTAGTCCATTTGTTATGACGGAATATTTGTGTATGAATCAATTTACTTCGTGTTATAATTCAGAGACTTCAATCGTATAAATAGAAACATCAAGATTTTGTATCAAAATGGGAGTTTTCTGATGAATTATTAGTGAATTCGAATAAAAGTTACACCAACAAAATTCAATAGTAAAAGTTTGAAAACAATTCAGTTCAGTCCATCAAAAATATGTAAAGTATCATAACTGAAAAGCATATAATTCAACAATGTTATTTTTCTTAGTGTGGTGCGTAGTATACACATTTGAATCTCTACCTGTGCTATTTTTCTCAGTGTATCAATTGGTATCTCTGTCAATGCTATGACGTATTTCCTCTGAATATTTTGTACAACCTACATCAAAGGTTCCGACAAAGCATTCGCCGCTTTCTAGTTGGTGTAATCTTTGGTCGTAGGCGTTACGTAATAACTCTGGGAATGAGGTACATCCGCAGAAAACTGACGACCCACTAGGTTCTGTGTTGCTCCAGTGAGGTGAGTTGAGAGAGAGCATACAAATCCACATGCATTTCTTCTAATCTTATACTGAACGTATTTGTTTCAATCAAGCTAGGCAAAAAAATCAACATGGGAAGGAAACTGATCAATCAAGAAATAACACAAGTTGAAACGATGAAAATGAATATTTCGTACTTTTCTCAAGTCTAACTCAGTTATCGCCCTAATATATTTGTTGAATT